TTATTATTTTATTATATATATATTACATTATAACTATACTAAAAAGAATAGAAGGAAAGGTTTCCTCTCAGAAGCTAGCTAAGCTAAGAATAGAAAACAATGAATAACAAACGTCTGTGGCTCGGGCAGAGTGTCCAAGCTATCTGATCTGTGGCTGGCCATTAATTGTAGACATTCAAGATGGCCCAATCACAGACAAACCTGTTGCATTCCACAGCAGCAGAAAACCATTGTTTACATTTTGTTTCTGAGGCCTCAGCTCCTCAGAAGGGAAAAAATTCCAAGACAAGATTTTCACAAAAAGATGTCTGTGACAGAGGAGAACTGAATCTTGCTTCCTATCTGGGTCAAGACAGGGCATACTCCTGTCTTGAGATCTATTGACAGAAAAGTGAGCATTGCATAGGGTTCTGTTTTATGGAATTCCATATGTTTTATGGAATTCTGTTTATGGAATGCCAAAACCCAAGGGAAGATAGGGAGTGCCTCCAAGGACATATCAGAATAAAGCATTATCTGGGTCAAGGGAAAGGAAATGCTTTTGTCCTGGCTCTACCACACATGGAGGTTAGCATGCAACTGCAAAAGAAATACTTTTAGGAGAAGCTCACCCCATAACAAGGGACAATTGGTTGGTGTCTGTTGTGTCCCCATTGTTCCCCATTCCCCCATGATCAGGCAGGCATTTGCATACATTCAAATTAAAAGAGAGGCAGTCAATAGGTGGTACCTGTGTGTAGCCTGGGCACAGCATTGGTGCCCCAGGTGCCACAGGGGTGTGGCTGTGCACATGGGGGTGTGACAGCAGCCACAGCCATCAGATGTGTCACAGCTCCCCATCCTCTGAGAACATTCAAATCCAGGTCCTGAACCATGATTCTGCTGAAGATCACAAGCTTTCTCTTCAGCTGTCATCACTGGCAAAACCCCAATTTTTGAGTGAGGCACTGAGAGATAATCCTTGTGGGCCCTGTAAAGTGAGCTCAACATTTGTACCTGAATCCCAAAGTCTTTGGTGAAGGATCTATGTGTATTTGCTCTCCTGTTGCAATGCTTTGAGAGTTGTAAAATTTTGAATACATCTCCGTGAAATGAGAGATCAGCCCAGGACAGTACTTACCATTAGAAAAACAACATATATCCTCAGTCTATCTGAAAGTCTAATTTCTACACATATTTTTTCCTTATATTAAACAGAAAATTGTCTATAATAACAGTAACTTTTGAAAGCTCTGTTTGCCTTTTTTCTTCTCTTTGGTGCATTTCTTTTGATATATGTGAGCTGCTACCACTTAAATTCTCCAGGAAGAACAGCAATTTTTAAGTTATCCAAAAGCATCTTATAAAAGATTCTATCAGAAGGTTATCCTTCTATTTATTGTATAACCTGGAAAAAATAAGAAGATAAAGAAACTGGGGAGGTTGAGAACAATATATAATACAAATGTCTTAAGGCAAAGATGATCAAGGCAGTAAATTTCCTTTTAATACACAGCTAAGGGCATTACTAAGAAAGCCATCCTTGGGAACTCGCCTTTCCAGGCTCCTTCTGTTAACTACAGAGAAAACAGGAACCTAATTTAAGCACTGTATCATTACCTGGAAGAGCCTTATTACCTCTAGAAGGAGCCTTAGGATACAAACCTTTGTGAGTACCCTGCATAATTAAAGCTTAAATTATGTGGTGGAAACTGGGAAGAAGCTCGGCTCACCTGACACTGACCTGTCAAATCAGCTGCATTGGTGGCAGAGGGAGCTAAGATCACAGGCGCTGCACAAATAAATCAGTTGGTAATCATGAATGAAAGCCCTTGTTTGCCTTCATTCAATGCCTGGTGTATGAATACAAACTGAAATCCCTGGCAGGCTAAGTCAGTGCTCTTGGGTTTAACCAGGCACGCTGTTTGCTCAGCCCCTCATCTTGTTCTGAGGGAACTTCCAATGGAGAGGTGGAGCTGGTATTCCCTGTTAAGTGACCCTCTGAAATCACTTCTGTATAAATTAGCAGTGCTCAAGGATCAGAGCCCTTGTTATCACTGTGTCACTGCTTTCCTGAGCTGTTTCACCTTCCAGGATTTCATTCATTCTCATGAAGCTTTGGAGCAGTCTTGGATGAAAGCAGAAGGCTCTTGTGGACACATGGCATTCTCTACACTTCACTTACTCCATTTCTATTTAGAAGACACTAAAAAAAATACCTGTGGTAAAAAATCCCACTTGTAACTGAACATATCAAGTACCTCCTTCCTATGCATTCCTTCAGGGGAAAAATAAGAAGAGAAAAGAAATCAAAGCTTTCATTTCTCTTCAGAAACCAATCCACACCATATATACTGCAGGAGAGGAAGTGTCAGGGGGGTGACAAGGAGAGCAAAGAGTCACCATTTTCCAGCAGTTGTGAAGCTCTGTTTAGCTAAAACAAGTGTAACCTTCACACAGAAAATGGCTGTGAACACTACACAGCAACATCTGCTTTGTGATTCTAATCCATAAAAGGCTTCCAAACGCCCTTAAAAATTGTTCCCTCTTTTCCCCTGTCTGAGTGCCATCTCCCAGGAAGCCATCTGGGACAAGCATGCCAGTTATTCTGCTTAGCGATGGCAGTATTGTCCTCAAGTGCCTCCGGATGAGTCACATCAATGCAAAAGTCCAATTATAGCAGGAGCCCCCCAAAGCAGAAGTATCATTTCAAATAAATAAGACTGATGTAGCTGAACCACTGGAATTCAGAATGTAATTCAGTCACTTCATCACCTTTTGCTCAAAACCCCTGCATCCCTTAAAGCACCCGTGCTAAATCCCCAATCTGGTTACAACATTCCCAGCACAGATGTGATAGTCTTAAGCCAGTGTGTATGCATTTAGAGGAGTCAATTACTTTTCTTTTTTTCTTTCCTCCTTATTATTTTAAAATACAGCCTTTTTAAAACTGGTATTTCTTACCATATTAGAGTAGCGAATGAACAGTGCCATCCACTGTTTCTCTACATAATCCACAACATTTTCCTAGGATGTCTTAAATAAGATTTAACATAAAAATTAATGCCACATTTGGAACTAAGAAATATAGATTGATAAAAAGGTATGAGGCAAAATTCATGTTTAAGGGGTCAGGCTAAATATAGAGTGAGAAATCTACAAGGAGATTACAACAAAGGGAATTTTATGAAATATCTCCTCACCCATGGGTGAGCCATTCTAACCTAATTAGCTATACCAAATACTACTCCAATCAAGTAGGTATTTTTTTATCTTGCTAAGTGTAAATTCTCTTTTCATCTTATTCTAAGAACTACATCTCTTCTGCAGAGCAGTCATCAGCTGCCTAGACCATGACCCTGATGAACAATACTGCTAAGAACAGGTGCCTTAAGAGATGTTTACCGTAGAAGAATTAATGATACGGTGTGAAGGAGACCCTGTTTTCTAAACAGGGCCAGTGCAAGGCTGGATGTCCCTGAATGCCCCCGGCAACGGGGCACAAGCCTTGTCTTTCAGATGTGCAGTTCAGAGGCTGCTCCTATAGGAGGATTCCAAACTCATCCCATCCCTGGTGTTGCACATCTCACTGGGCAGAATACCTGCACTTTTCAGCAATGCCACAGCTTAATAATGCAAATATGCAAATGTGCTCCATGTTCACCCCCACAGAATCAGCAAGTGTCATTCCCACAGCTCCCTGCACTTTGCTGGAGCAGTCTCCATGCCCAGCATTTTCCTAGACTGATCTCACAAGGCTTCTCTTTCATCCTGTTAAAACAAAAGCAGAACAGCCATTGACCACAGTGATGAATGAATTAAGCCATAACAGTTTGCCTCTCAGTACCTTACTCTATATTATTTTCTTAGAGGTAATGTTTCGAATTTCAAGGAAGGGCTGCTTTCCAATTCAAAGTGGCTACAATTCCTGACTTTTCTTACAGTACAGATCTCTCATTGACACAAATAATGGTAGAAACATTATTTAGAAAATTGTATAACTGTCGAGTCTCAGGTAATTCAAAGGATAATTACTTGTTCATGATCAATGACTAATTATATACTACACAACACAGAGCTATAAAACTGACAAATGGTGAAAGCACATAGTTATTGCACACTGTGCTGGGAACATGACTTCCATGAACCTGGTGCATTACACCCAAAGTTTTCTCTTAAGATATTTATAGAAAGGAAAATGTGTGTGGCAGAATTGGTTGCACTGAACACGCTTAGGCTCATTCATATTTCAGAAGAAAAGATTGTTTTCCAAAAATCATTTCCTATTGATGTTGTTGTGTTTGGTCCTCACTCAGATTGATCAGCAGGACACTAGGCTGTGAGGGTCAGACTGGAAATTATTTCTTTGATTTTTCTATTATGTTTTCAAAGGTAAGAGAGAGTTCTACATCCTTCTGAAAGTCACTGGCTGTAAGGAGGGAAAACTCAAGTTCCTGAGAGTGTAGATTAGACCTGATCATAAACTGACCTGATTATGTAATTGAAATATAATTGCAATAAAATTCTTAATATAGTTTTCTGGTTCTGGGGCATGGATATTTTGACCCCATGCTACTCATGCTTGTAGCTCTTTGGACTCCTCAGGGTCTCCTTTGGGGAACCTGTTTAGAATGAAAATTACATTTTATGTTGAGAATATTAAATTTTCATTTCTTGTTCTTAACACCAACAGTTTACTGAAGAAAGACATTAATTTTGATTTCTTTGTGTTTGTTAATGCTAAATAATATTTGATAATGTCATGGATCTGCAGCATGGATTTCCTTTGTTGAGAAAAGGCTTGTCTCACCTCTGAAATGCTGACATCATGTCAAACTCACAAGAGTTTCCAACATTCAGAGCCTAAATAAGTTACAAGCTTATCCCATGAGGAATGGTGAATCTCTTCCACCAATCTTCTCTTTCTGATATGCTTAAGGCAAACCAAAACGCTCAAAATCTCCAGCTATAGCTGCCATATTAAAGGACAGAAAGTAAGTTATGGTGAAAAAAAAACTTACCTTAAACCTGTTACAATTCACACACCATCAACTTGCCTCCCAAACTGTTGATCTGGCAAAGAGGGACAACACAACTGTAGCTGTAGAAGCTGTAGGACTTCTATTCATTGTGCCTGTACACTCAGGATCACAGGACTGCAAAACATTCTGAAAATCTTTCTGGTTTTCCACAAATTTATCTGAAAGGATCTCCTCCACCTAAAAGATGAATGAATTTGTAATGCTGGTAAGGAAAAAGTGTTCCTGTAGTTTTGATAGCATTACCACATGGAAAAATAAACTAAAATGACATATTTTACACTTAAAATGACCTGGGTTATCACTTACAGTATTACAAGCTGGAACAAAAAAGGCAGGTTTCTTATTTCATATGTTCCATTAAGATATTTGCAAACCATCTAAGCTAAACCAAAATTATGTTCCTCCTAAAAAAATTAGCTTCCTAATTTCAAAGCATTGTGCAACATCAGGCCCAGAACTCACCCATGAAAATACTTGTTCTGAAAACAGACTGGAAAGGTTGCAGGAAATCACCCCCTCCTCTGCCTTCATAGATTTGCTTCTGTAAGTGACTGAAGAAGCAGATCTGTGTCTGCTGAGGACACTGAGCTTTTGCTGTCTGCTCCTCCTCTCAGTCCTGTAAAACAAAACCCCCTAGGACTGAGTGCATTTTAAGTGGCACTCAGGTCACTCAGGGCATGATTAGAGGACAATGGCTTTTATCAAGGGAAAATGATGATGAAATTTGGCCTACTGAACCAGCTTTAGAATCTGTCTGCAGCTATTGCACTTAGATTAAAAATGTTTTTCATGCATAAATTGGGTGTGTTAAAAGCAGAAGGTTCTGAGAAGAAACAAAGCCAGGATCCTGTTTGGATAAAAGAAGTCTCAGCATACTGCAGATCTAACCAAACATTGTACTACGCAAAATTTCAGGTGACCTTGAAGGAGGTGAAGAAACCCCTTGGATTGTCTTAGCAGGCTGGGGACCTAGATTGGTTCCAGGTTCTGGTTCTACCAAGAAACAGCTGGAATGAACTTGAGCAGCTGCACCAAATGGTGCTGTTGTTGGAGCCACCAGAGTAGAAAATTAGCCTGATACAGCTGCTAATATCCAAATATTTCAAAGCAATGCACACCATTCAGGGCTGTTCAATGGAACCTTCTTTTTGTGCATTTAGTATCTCTCTTGATACCTGTGTACTCCTTTGATGTCTTTGTTATCTCTCTTGACACTGCTTTCTCTCAACAACACTCCAGAGTACCTAAGACAAAACTAAATATGGAGTCTGTTCACACACTAATGCAAACCTAAAAGGGAATTGATATTGAAAATTATGAACAGCTTCTTTACACTAGGTAGTAGATTTGCAACCTGCAGCTTAGGTTATTTCTTGGAATAATTCAGTGAGCAAAAGAGTATTTATTTCTGTCAGGGAAAGCAGGCTAAGTGTTGCCTGTGGGTTTCAGCAAATAACCTCTCTGTACCTTGGGTGAACGGTTCCAAAGGAAAGCCTTGTAAGGCAGCTGCAAATTCAGAAGTGTCAAAGCTGTGCCCAGGGAAATATGCAATGTCTGTGTAGTACACAGAATACATTTTCATGGAATCACAGAATATCCTGAGCTGGAAGGGACTCACAAGGACCATCAACCCCTGGTGCTGCCCAGGCACCCCAGCAATCCCACCCTGTGCATCCCTGAGAGCATTGTCCAAATGCTCCTGGAGCTCTGGCAGCCCTGGGGCTGTGACCATCCCTGGGGAGCCTGTTCAGTGCCCCAGCACCCTCTGGGGGAAGAACCTTTAATGATATCCACCCTAACTCTCCCCTGACCCAGCTCCATGAAGTTCTCTTGGATCCATTTGAATCTATGTACATTATAAAGAATTATAGATATAATAAGAAGTAGCAAAATATCAGAAAAACAGATCTGACAACACAAAGCTAAGAAATACTACTATGGTTCCTCTGCTTCATTCACATGAGTCAGCTAGAGATTCTGCTGGGGTTTTCAAAAACTTCTACCAACCATGAGATTGCTTTGCAACTGATGCTTCAGAAACAGAGTCTAGAAGTGATGGTTAGGATTTTTGATTGCTAGAATCAACCTGTTAGTGAAGTTAGTGAAGTTTTTAGCTAAGTTAGTGAACCTACTAACTTAGCTAAAAACTGTACACAGAGCATAACATTTTACAAAACCACAGTCCAGCATTTTGCCACAGTCATTATAAAAGAGACTACGATTACAGAATTAAAAAGAAACACTTACTACTGGTTCTTTTTCTTCAAACAAGTCTTTAAATTTATGATAGCCAAGCTATCCAGTCTGCTTTGGATCAATTAATCAACTCCTGGAAGGCTCAATTTTTCATCTGAAATACCAGGTTCTCTAAAAGCTGATGAAGGTAACTTCTTGTGGCCTTTTCCCCACAAGCATAAAAAAGAATAAACACTTACCAAAGCAATGCTGATTCCAGCATGTCACTCTACACTGCCAGATCATCCTGACCTACAATAACTGAGAGGTTGCACATGTTTCAGTAGCCTGCATAGTTTTTCAGATTGTTTTTTTTATTTTCTCTAAAGAAACCTGAGGAGACATAACGGGCAGAAAGAAGGAAAAGATGAACAAAGGATTTGGAACAATAACAGAAAAATTAGGAGTAAATAGTTCCTTTAGTGATTCGGTTTTCTTGGCTAAGCACTAGACAAATAGCTTTCTGTTCATGAAATTCACCCTAAGAAAATTCTGTTTCCCTTTAGTCCTCCACAGAGATCCAGGGTGGCAGAAATAATATAGAGGATGAGCAATTATTTACTTCATCAGTTGGTCTGGGAAATACTTTAAAGTTTGGCAATCAAAAGATAATGGTCTTGTGAAACTACTATTGGGTATTTGAATTTTCTTTAGAGACTCTTGTCACTGCATTAAATCATATGGAAGCAAAACCTGATAATGCACCTACCTCCCCCAGTAAATAACTTGGGGAATCTGGTACTGAAGATACAAAGACAGCTTGTACTTCACAAGAAACAATTGTACAGACTGGCTAGATCTTACCCATGAAAGTGAAATATGATAAAAAGAAATTGCATTTTGTTCAAAACTTACATAATATGGGAATGTTAAGACATACTAACTACTTCAGGATTTATTAAACATTTTCTTGGTTGGCCACTTTGCAAGCTCAAGTTTATTTAGTCAAAAGGATTTAATTCCATTGCCCAGACCATTTTCTAAGTCAGTCCAACATCGGTGATGTGACTGCAGATAGATGTACTGATCTAATCCAACAAAAAAAAATCATAACATTATGTATAAACTATTTTACTTGTCTTTCTTTCACAGTGGGAGTTCCAAAAGCTGGGGATTAAATAGTTCTTTCTTCTGCCTGTCTTTCCACAATCTCCAATATCTCTGCCTTTGTTAACAACCGCATTCAGAAATGCTCCTGTTCAGTAAATGAATAAAAATCATAGTAGTAAAGTGCTTTACTGAATCATTGCCTGATTGTTGTAAGCATTATTATTATCTATTGCCATGTATGAAACTGATTTTCTTTTCCTATAAATTGCTAAATGAATTCTTTCCCTCTGAGGTCACACGTATATGTATATGGATGAAATACTGCAGAGCTAAAGTGAACAGTTTTTATGTAATTATATTAGAAAGGAATTGTGATCTATCATCTATATAAAACCATCTAATAAAAAATGCCAAGAGTGCTTCTGAAGATATGCCCAGTGCTTCCTTTGCTTGTGTCAACCAGACTGAGAGCTTTAATTTTTTCAGACTATTATTTGCTCACTCAATTTAGAAATACAGAGCCTACAAGTTAAGGAGTGCAATATGTAGCAAATCAAAGTAATGAAAAAATACAGCTTGTCCACCAAAGAGATGATCACCCAAGCCAGTATGGGACACATATCATGGCACTCCATCATGACAGACAGAAAGGCATCCCAGCACAGCTCTGTGCAGCATGAGGACTGAGGAACTGGCAAAAACAGGCAGTTCTTGCCAGAGCTCATCTCCCAGACCAAACACACAAAGGAATCCAGACTCTGGGAGATGCTAGATGAAGGTCCTGCTGAAAATGGAGGGAGCTGTGGGACAGCAGGTTCAGCACTGCCAGTGTCACACATGGTGTTACAGTCCAGCTGGCAGATGGGAAACTGCAAACACAAACCTTTCACAAACACAAGAGTACTCTGTTTGTGCTCCAGAATATTATCTTACAATAATTGTTACATGGGTCTGACTCTCATTAGCTTAGTCTGTCATGCTGATTTTATCTCTTCACATGAGGAGATTTGCCTGTCTGCGGTTCCTCCCCTGTGCTCAGGGGCCAAAGGGGTGCGCATCCATTCCTAAGTGCCATATCTGGGTGTACACACCCATGACACCTGCCTTGCTTCTCCAAAGTGCTCTGTCTCAGGTCAAGGTGCAGCTTTATCCAGCACATTTTAATGCCTGCCCTTCACTGAAGTGTCACTCTCAACCCATTGGTCTCCTTCAGCATGTGATGTTTAATAGGTGTTCATGCACTGTAGTTCTGAGAGATAATATTAAACCCACTGTGCTCCGTGAAACTTTGTAGAATTCTCTGAACACTAAAGTTTACCTCATGCCATGTTTCAGAACTGGAGACAAACCAGATTTGTTTCTCTGATGCATATAAGAGCAAGACTAAGGAAACTTTCCAATACCACCTGAATTCCTTGCCCTGAGATGAACAATCTCCTCTTAGAAGAGACTGGGGGTAAAAAAAAAAAAAAGAATAAACGTGCAGGTGAGAGGTTATCACTTGATAATGCAATTCCAAATTTCCAGATTTTCAGGAGATGCGATGATAAGACTCTAAAAGTAATTTAAAAAATAATGTCTCATCTTCAAATGACACAAGTGCCAATGTTTTAGGTGACTGAGTGACCTCATATTATCAACATAAGAGCTAAAAAATCATTCATTTCATATAATGCAATGTATAAAAATAATAGATACAGCAAGAATATTTTTTAGTTAAAAAAGCACAATTTATATCAAATATTGCCCCCCACTTTTCATACCTTTTGGTTTCTGTGTCTCCATAAACATGAGAAACCCTCTGAAAAGATTATAGGAGGCTAGAGAAGTTGTTTATTCTATTTCTTTGGTGTTGAAATACTTGCCTCACAATTTTTTCTAGGATCTGAGATTTTAAGTAAATCACAAAATATTACAAGACTCACAATAGAATATCAAAGGGTGCTTCGCTCATCCTTTTATAAAACATCAATCTCATTCAACATTATAAATTCAAATTTGTAGTACAGCTAGAGGGTATATTATATTTCTAGCTTGCACATTAGAAAGCTCCAGTACTAGGCTGGGGTTTTGCTTTCAGGATATGGATTAAAAAGGTAGGGACCAGTGGCATTTTAGACTCCAACACACTGAGAATATTTTGGAAAGAGCATCAGCTGGAAGAAAAGGGAGCAGGCCATTACCTGTGAATTGGGAAGTGATGTGATAGAAAATTAGAAGGTTGCTGCATGAGCCTTTTAAAATGTTTTAGATAAGAACATGAATGGATGTAAGTCCTGGAGCAGAAGACATTCAAGTTCATACCTGCTTCTATCTCCTGGAAAAAAAAAAAAAAAGGAAAAAAGCAGGAAGTTTCCTTTTGTTGTCTCTAAGACAGGAAGAAATATCTTTATTTGGTTTATTTGGTTTATATGGGCTTTTCACAATAGCTGAAAATCTACTCATATTAACATAAATTTTTAAGAATAATACAGTAGCTGAGCAGGAGAACAGTATTTGTTAAATGTTACTGTGCAGATCTTAGTGTGAACAGAAAATATGATGTCCAAGAGGACTTTTCTTGTGTTGATCATGTGTGTCTGAATATTTTTCATAGCACTCCTTCTCCATTAAATGCCAAAGCCAGTCAGTACAGTCAATATTGCATTTCCTTTCACCCACAAGGGAGTCAGTTTTTCTGGGAGCTACTACACTTTATGGTACAACACAGATAATAATGGTGGACTCAACAAAGGGATGCCAACAGCTGCAAATTTACACATCTGGATCCCTATATTGGCAGTGGCCGATATCAAAGTGTGGTGAGTAACAGCACCAGGTAACAGAAACCTTCAAATACACTTGTGGACAATAACCCATTCTCAGCCAGGTCTCTTTCTAATGAGGTTTTGCAGGGGCTGATTTTTAGCCCTGTTCTATCCATACATTTTATGCACACACATCCATGTATGTGTGTCTCTCTGTGTGTGAGGGTCTATAAACTGAGTAAACACATCCCTCTCCATGGATATCTATATAAATATATACATACACACATCCACAAATAATGTGAAAAAAATACCCTCTCCAAAACTTTGAAAGACTGGGTGACCACAGATAACTGAAAAATAAGTGGAATGGTAAAATTATAAAAATAAAACTTCACTAACACAGCACAAGTGGGAAGAAGAAGGAAGGAACAAAGTTTCTAATGAAGTCCTGCAATGAGAAACAGAGAAAATAGGCCAGAATAAAAAGGGAAGCTTGATTACAAGCTTTATTACGAGATTTACAGTTCATAACATATAATCAAAGCATAAATAAATTGCCAGTATGATTCTAGGCACAAGGGATTCAGGCAGTCCTTGGCTGTAGAAACAGAGGAACACATAGCAGTACCTGAGAAGTTATATTACTTATTTTTCTCATCCCAATGTAACTTCTGTGAAAGCACCAACTCTCATTTCTGCCATAACATTTCATGAAATGTACAGAAAAACTAGCAGGAGTTCAAAAGCAGCCACAGGGAGGATTAAACTACTGGCCAACATGACTTAAAGCGAAATTGTAGGAGGTCAAAAATTTGTGGTCATCAAGGAAGTTATTACAGAATATTTAGTCCCCAGCTGCACATATCTATATTAAAGAAACTTGAAAAACAGACTCTGGGCGTTGTTCTAACAGGAAACAAACACTGGCAACCACCAGATGACTTTGAAGAAGATAGGAGAAAAATGCTTAGCTGTAATAGTAATTAACAGAGGCGGCACATAAAAATAATTGCTCCTAACTCATCAAGCGTAAAGAAAACCTGCTTTAAAGAGGGATAAACATCTTGGATGTATCTGCACAGCTTCTGAAGAACACTGTCACTAGAGAAATGTTTATCTCCTTTAGCTGGGTCTATTTTGCTAGAGGAAAAAAGAGTTTGCAATGCTTTCATGTCTCACCCTCTTTCACTCACTATATTCTTCTCAGAGCAGGAAAAATAAATGACCTCATTAAGACTTTAGGTTTGATAGGATTCGAAATAAGAATGCACTTGGAGGAAGCATTTTTTAACTGAATTTAATCAAGAGTGATCTCTGTGTGGATACACATCTCTTTTTCAATAAATATGTAGCCACAGGTGACTCACATAACAAATAGGAGCTTACAACTTACTTATGTTTGCTTTTTCTCAAAGAAATTGTCTGCTTTTCAAAGGTGCTCCCAGGATCCTGGAGTTTTTCTCAAAATTGTTGCCACGCAATTTTACGTGTGGGTTTCAGGCTTTGTGTCCAAATCTGATTTTTTAAAGTAAGAAAAATGCTTTTTATAGACTTCCTTATAAAAATATCCTACATTCCAATAAAAATTTTGAACTAGAACATCACATCATCACTATGATGCCAGTGTGTGCAACTCTCATCATTAGAGTAAGCTTGCATAGTTTTTTTTGTTGCTAAATATGTAAACTGAGCCAACTTATTTTCTCCATTCCAAGTGCCTGACTGTGGAATTCATCTAAGCAAATGCACATGCCTGCACCTGAGTGAGCCACTCTCAGGTCCCTTTATAGTCATTGGGGAGGAAGAAGCCCTTTCTGGACAGGATTCATCTCATCCGAAAGCAGACATCTCTAACTGATTAGATCAATCCTGCCCATTGTTCCTCTCCAGTGACTATAAAACAGAGTCCAGGAGGGGCAGTTCAGGCATAGATATTCACATCAGAGATGTCTACAATGAGATAGTAGTTAATGCATCTCTTCTCATTATTTACACATAACAGTAGAGAAACTAACTAGGGGGAATAGGATATTGAGCTGTTTTAATGTTATGATGTACATTGTACCCAAATTTGAAAGCATCAAAAGTACTGGAAATGTTAAACTACATTAAAAATTCTGGGAACTTAACTAGTATCATATTTCATAGGTAATTACTTTAAAATCAATAAGGGCCTATGCACACAACTCTCCAAACCCTATCTCCTCTTCACTTTCAGTGGTACTGCAGAAAGATCCAATGGCTAAATGCACTCCTGCTTCAGATGGTTTTGCAGACAGCTACATCCCTCAGGTATTTTTAGAAATGTGCTGAGTTCCTACTATTGTCACCTCAGAAAAGCTTTTAAAACTCCTAATGCTCCTCAAAATGGTGGCAGGCAGTATTAAGAGCATTTTCTAATCCAGGATGAAAAGGCCAAAACTAAAAAACTACCAGAGGTATGCCAAGTTTCCAGGATCTTTTACAAAAAACCTCCTGGTTTTGGACTGTCCAGTAGTTTGCTAAGCTCAGCCTAAACAGCCAGCAAAGCTTCAACACAAGTTAGAAGAATCACACAGTTTGTTGGTCAACTGCAACCTGACAGCATGGGGTGTTGAGGGAACCTGACTTTTTCCAGTGGTGCTGCCTGTGAGCAGTAGATGCCCCATGGCTCAGGGGCTGAGCATCTTCCACTGCCCAGAGCCCAAAACAGGGGCTGGGAAGGGCCAAGCACCAAACACTCAAGATAAATGAAGACAGAGGCAGTGCTGGCATTCAAATTTCACCAGGGAGTAATTTCATTCCCTGCAGGGTAGGGCTTTGCCAACAATGCTGTTGAGGAATGAGTTCTTAAAAAAAAAAAAAGCTGTGGGAAGGATAGATATTTCATGTCTGATTATTGTCTTGGATAAATGAATATGAAACAAACAGTATGAAATAACAGATTATTTTTAAAATTAAGGCCAAGATAATAACAGTTATTTTGAGACCCCAGCTGAGATCTCTTCACACTCAAAAGTCTATGGGCTGCTAAATCCCTCAAATCACACTGTAGAGAGCAATTCTGCACTGAAAATGAGCAACCAGGCAAAGCTGTGTCAGTCAGAGCAGCAGACCTCTCCATTTCCACCTCCTTGCTCAGTTATCCCACAGTTGCTTTTCAGATTCAGCAGTGACAGCTGCCAAAATCCTGGGAGAGCTGGAGGGAGCTCAGGAAGAAGCACCAGTGAGGATGGGTGAAGCTCCGGCATTCCTCACTCCGGTTTGTGGTGCTGTTGATCCGTCCACCAGTTGCAGTGGTTTTGCCACATATTGCAGATTGAGGAGTGGATTGTGGAGCTCTTTCAGTGCTGCCTGTATCTGGCCAGCACAGCACATTTCTCTTGCTGATTTTATCACAGAGAGGGATGAATTTGGTCCTTCCAGGAGCTGGGGTGGGGAGCTGAGGGAGGAACTCACCAGCATTAAGCTTTGGTTTTAGATAAAGCTGAATCGGTATAAAAACTGAGAAGGAATTTCAGAGGATTTGTTTTTTTAATTTCAAAACATTTCCTCCTTATACTTATAAAACTGGCCTTCAGATTTCAGGCTGTGCTAGAAAGGCAATAAATACAATATTTAGATGCCATAGGTAGAAATACTGAGAAACAGAAATATTGCTCCACTGTAGGGCCAGATAAAAATGTGCATCTTTTTGAGGGATAATCCAGCATTTTATCTACTGTAGGAGGCCAGCTAAATTACAAAAGTAATAAGAATAATTCTGCATGGTATGGCTTTTTGGAAGTATGCTTATGGATGTGTACAAGTTCAGAAGAATATATTTCCAAGAGAATTGACTGATTAGAGCCATAACAGCATGGATAGCTGGCAGAACCTTGTAATATATCATCCCATACTGGTCCTTGACAAAGTACTAGGAATTTAGGCATTTTTAATCATCGGTGCCTTAGCATCTGATACTTTTATACAAATCATAAATCAAAGAAATGAAGCATGTGGGTAGCACAAAAACTACTTCTGCTGCTGAAACATGTCTTTGTGTTTTTAACTGATATTATGTTCATCAGAGTCCTGACCCACTGAGAATAATGATTTACCTAATATCACAAATAAAAGTCACCAATTAAAAATCCTGGCAGCCATGAGAAAAGAGTCTTAGAAGTGAGGTCCTCTGGCAAAGCCTTCACATTGGTCATGTATGATTTGCTCCCAGCCACTGACAAGAGCACCCTTCACTCACCCTTCTCACTCATCAAGGGAGCAAAGTTCAAAGACACAATCTCAACGTTTCCCACATGGGAATGCTGAAAGATTTTGTGAATTTTATTCCTGCAGTTTATGCAGCCCTCTACACAGCCTCAAGTGATGATGTTTTGTTTCTAAATGAAGGAAATTTGGAGAGTAGAAGTGATGGAATTTAGGGAATTCAGGACTCAGATGAGTGATGCTCTCTGAGTGAAGAACACCTCAATGGTGCCTTGGATGTGCTTGATTATGCTGCAGAGGGGACAGAGACAGAGAAAAATATGTGTGGGTGATCTGGTCCTAAACCAGGCAAGGATAAAATTGT